AAAAGCCAAAATGTAGATGTTTGCATGTACAGTTCCATTCCCTCATGTGCCAAAATGCTTGTACAACTGCTACAGGGATTAGTGGCATGCATTAATTTATAGGATAGCTCTACTCATTTTTCCTAAATTTAATAATTTAAATCCTGGAGATTTTACTGATTACTCTAGTGAAATGAACTTTCATTTAAAATGTAGAACCTGGGAGAAAAATAAATTTCTGAAAGAACCTTCTCTAAACCCAAGCATTAGGTTTCCAAAAATATATTCTTAGGAATAATCCTTTTAGATATTATAGGTATTCTTCCGTCTCCTAGTCCAGTGTTTCAGTATAAAACAAATGAATGCTTTGGAACGTTTAGTCCTCCAAACCCATTAAGAGGATCACGATAAGCTTTCCTTCCTCCTACGCTTCACTTCAGACTCTGCTAACAATGGCCACAGAGGAGAACAACTGGTGAAAATGCTCACGCTGTTTAAGAGATATTTAATCTCTGTGTACTGTATTGAAACAAAGGATTCATTTGCCAAGACCATGAAACAAACTTCTTAATTCCCCAGTAGGTAGAAACCAGCCAAGAGCAGAAATCCAGAAGTGAAGCACTAGCAACTTCTGTTAGATTATGTTGCTATTAGGATACATCTACTGTATAGTTTAGCTCAGGACATTGACTTTTTTTGTGGTCAGTTGATCAGTCAGACACATTTTTTTATACATTTTTCACTAAAAGCATTATTTCCATAAAGCTTGGGAGGGTAAGAGGGGTGTCTTCCAGATAGCTAAATCTCACTGAGTGAAGGAGTAGCAGTCTGCAGTGTCATCTCCACTCCTTACCTCAGGATAAACTCACTGAAATTAGAGGCAGCTGCATCTGAAGGAAGGAAGAATGAGGACATCATTTTTAGTTTTGTTTTCCTTGATGCAAGAAAATATGTTGTTATGGGGAGAGTCATGACTTCTTAACTGACTTAATCTTCAAGCTCAGGTTATCTGGGATGATGTCAAGGTGATGTATAGGCAAACTCTGGGAAAACTTTAGCAGGTCCTGAAACACTGAGTAGGAAGTGCACTGAGTAGGAAGTAGGGGAACAGTTTCAACACTGATACTGTGGTAGAAAGGAAATATGAAAGGCCTGCGTGCAACTTAGGTGCTCAGATCTCCTGCTGTAGCTTTGTGTAGGCAGTGCCTCCCTTCGGGCAGAACACACTGAATGCTGAGCTGCTGCAGCCTGGATGGGAAGGTTTACTCACAGCACTGCACCACCTTTGATCTGCTGAACTGCTCTTGGATCAGTGCTATTGAGTCTGGAATGCATACTAACCACTAGTCACATGCCACTGCAAGGTAATGAAGAGATTTAAGAAGTGGACAGCAACCATGAGGAATTCAGTCTTACCCCTACACACTTTAATTGGAGATAGGAGCCTGCAATGAAGGACCAGTAACAGTTAGTGCACATAAAGATTGCCATCTTATAAAATCGACAGATGTAGATTAATACCAGATGAATGTATCTAGAACAACGGAACATCCTGTCACCAGGAAATATTTAACTGGACTTCACAGGAAAACTGGGGATTTTTTTTTGCAAGGGTTCCACTTGCAGAAGTTGCAAATGCTTGGAAAATGTGTTTTGTAATGAAAAGGGTAGCTAAACGTCTAGTTTCAATTGTAATATCAGGCATCAATCTGAGACAGTGGAGATTATTAAATGAAGAGCATTAGGCTTTTCTTATAGGATATGCTGTGCTTTAAAATGTATTTTATTGATCCTAAAATTACAAGATCAATTATTGACATTTTGTTGAGGATCAATCTTGGATTAAATGGCAAAATGAGGAAAAGTTTTTCATATGTACTATGTCCAAAAGCAGAAACAGATTGCCCTCCTCATGTGAACATTCATAAATTTTTTCTGATGATTAAACATTATGTCTGAAATATATCCTAAGTTACACCAGCCACTATAGCGCTTTTTGGTGAACCAAAGAAGTCCTACAGTGAAATCAAAGTTTTGAGTAATATCTGTACTACTTAAAATACGAATTCCCTCTAACATCATTTTTTTCCTGTTTTTAGATTCACATATATTCTGTCAATTACAATGCAAAATGTAAGTAACAGTTTTAAGCAAGGATGTTGGAGTGTGAAAAGAATTCATGTGAATTGCTAATAGGCTGGTGGGAATACAATTTTTTTTCCAGATGAAGGCAAATCCTGTCGCTTCAAAGACAGCAGACTTGATTTTCCACCGTTTCATCCCTTGACTCACTGCTGCTACCTGTGAGAGGGACCGGAAGGCTGGGAGCAGCCTGTGACCCAATCAGTACTCCATGTTACCAAACAAGCAGCGCTGCATCTATTCTCCCCTCCCTTTGAACAGATGTGAGCAAAGCTGTGAGCAAATTAAAAACACAAGCCGTGGGGCAAAAAGCATGCTTGTCACTACTTCAGCTGAGCAAAATGGAGATTTGATAGCACACACACAACATCTCTCTTCCGTTCTCCCCGTTTTTGCTATTTAAGGCAAAAGCCTGGTAATTAGCATCCTCCGGTGACATGAATCGATCGGGTTTGCATTCGCCTTGACACTCATGTGACAGAGAATGGAAAACAAAGGGATGGGATGAGTCCTCTCAGGTAATTAACCTACGCTCCAATGCTTCCCACACCAGCCTATTTTCAATTTCGGCACAGTACAGTTTATACACTCTAACATTATTGCTCAGAAGATAGAGTGATGATTCAGGTTTGCTAAAAATGGCTTCACCATACTGCAATCATGCTCGTGAAGCTTCATCTTGAATCCTGTAGTTACAAGCTTCTTCTCGCTGAGAAATAAATACGTGTGGTGTTTTATCTGAGAAGTTACTCACCAGGTACCTGAAACACTTGTATACCATCTTTAAGAAAACATGGCTTGTTTGGTCAATTTGCCTACCAATCATTTTCTCCCTGTTTTTAAAAAAAAAGTGTATAATACCATAAGTGACCTCCCTTAATACTGCTGTCCATACAACTAATAAATAACTGAGAAATAATATGCCTCTGCCGCATCCCATTGTGCCAGAAGATCGATATTCCTTTGGAATAGATGTTAGGTATCATCTATGCCCAGACCCACTGAAGTAAAAGAAATGATGCCTACTGGCTTCTGTGGGAGCCCGACTTGGACATCATTCTGGCAAGCTGTCCACCACTAAACTGAGTTCCTGTGCAGGGGTCAAAACCTAAATGAGGGAAAACAGAAATCTGGGAACTGAAACTGAGCCACAAAGAAATATTCTAATTCAGTGGCATCCTGAACAGATTCAAATAAAATGTGAACACCCATACACACACGCGTGCACACGCACACACAAAAGAAAGTTATGAATTTAACCATCTTAAAAATTCATAGATTAAAATTGTTCACATTAAACAATTGAGTAGAATAGGTAGCTTTCTCAACTTCCCATTTATTTCCCTGAGCACTGATCTTTGGAACATCTGGAGTTTCAGAATTATCTAGTCCACAATTCCTAGAAGAGTTGCGTAAAATACTGTTTTTTTGTGTCAAAAATCAATTCCTTAAGTAAAACTAAGATTCAACTTACATGAACAGCCAATTTTTTATTATTTTTTAAAGCCAACAACTATCTCTTCTCAATCTGTATGTAGGCACCTTGCTGATCTGTCTTCCAAACTCACTCTGCAGCTGGGCAGTTCCTATTTAACTCAGTACAGGGTGCTGTGCCGTGATATTAAACTTATCTGCGCAGAGACCTATGTAAGAATTTAACCTCCCTGCTTTTGTAACTCGTTTTTTGCAAGATATTTTGGTATATAAGCAAGACAGTATGCTGCCAATTCAATTCTGTGCCTCAGTTGATATTGTAGGTAAAGACTTTTAACTGACTTCTCTGCAAGGGGTTAAGAAGGTGATCTGCAGAGGCAGCACACAGCCAACATGCAGGTAGCCATACAACCAGCACACAACCAACCATACAGCCAGCACACAGCCACCATAGAGCCCATCTCCAGTGCTAACATGAGACATGCCCAGAGTAGATGTCCCAGGCTGGCCCTCTGCACAAGGAAATCTGCTGCCCAAAAGGTGCCGCCTTAGATTTCTGTAGCTCCTGGCAGCCTGGGCATGCTGCTTCTGACTGTCTTCTCTAGGTGAGGGCCGTCACTATGAGTTTTGCAGACCACAGACTGCAATTTCAAGACTTCTAAGGCATTCTGAACTTCAGGTTATATAAAGCATGCAAGTGAAAACTCTTCAGAAAACAAAACAATGCAGAAGGATTTGGTTATTTTTAGGCTAAAATTGTCTCTCTCCAATTCTAAGGCTGTAAATTACGTCAGTCTCTCTGCAGCTAAAGGTTTTAGAACAATTTTCCAGGACCACAGAAATACACTGTAACTTTGCATTCCCTTAACTCTCTCTCTGGTATCTGAGACACGGATGCTATGCAGCAGGCTCCAAACAGGAGGAACAGAAAGGTCATTTTGTAAAGCTCCATTTCAGCATAGGGTTCCTGGGGGTGCTGAACTGAAAGCAATCTGGAGAGCTGCTTTTGGGTTCTCCGTGCAGCATGAAATTAAGCTTTCACCTGTCCTAGACAGATGTAAAGACAACATGCGGTACCTACTTCCTTAGCTGGCACTTTCTGACACCACCTTGACTCTGGCATTCCAAGGCAGAATCCAGGAACAGCATTTAGCAGTTTCTTTCTGCCTTTTTCACACCTCCAAGTTCAGACGGAGTTAATAGCACACAATCCTATTATTATTATTATCATTTCCCCCCTCCTATGGAATTAAAGTGGCCTCTTTGAAAGGAAAAAAAAAATTAAATCTCTGTAACAGGAGTAAATACTGCTCTGAAAACACATTCGGAAGATGCCTTCCAAGATGGGGTGTTTTTTTTCTTCTTTTTTTTTCTTTTTTTTTTTTTTTCCTATTTCCTTTAAAACTGTGACCACTGCACCGGTTAAGGCTGTTTTACAATATATATATGTTTCAAATAAAACTTTAATATTCAAGCTTACCAGATTGATGGATCGTAACAGGTAAAATGGAACTCTTTACAAGGTAAACCATGTAGTTGTACAAAATAGAATTAAACCTTCACCTGTGTAAACCGAAAAGAAATCCTGCCTCGCATAAAAACACGGAACCTGTTTACAAAAAGGAATGTGTATGACATTTGGACTTCCTTGTAACTGCCATATCCTAGCAACATCCTAGCTGTTTTAGTAAAGGAACTAATCATCGATTTTAAACTGCAGTGAATTTACCAAACATTTTCACTATAGACTTCTGAAAGCTTTTACAGTAAGAAGTTATCAACAAAAGCAGGCACGTTAGTGTACAAAAACGTTGTTGATTTTTTTCCTGTTTCTTTTTCAAAGTGCAGGTTTTTCTCGATGTGCATCTTACAAGACTGACAAATGTTTTAACTCACTAAATCTTAGAACAGAACTCAATTCTCCCGAGGAGTAGTGTAAACGTTAAAGATCCCCAATACATCTCTAGTAAACGTGACACGAATGTCTCTGCGTTGTTCAGAAATTTAGCTCTTTTGAGAGGTAAAGAAGCTTCATGACACCTTTTCCTTACACTGGCTGGTTATCATAAATGGGTAACTCTGGACTGCTAAAGCTGGAGACTGATGAATCACTTCAAGGGAACTAAACTTGGCTACGGAGGAGAGGCGGCGGGAGGAACCAACCCTTCGGCATTTCTTGCGCAGCCTTTGGAGAACCTAGCCGCCGGCGGACAGACGGACGCAGGGACAGCGAGAGGAGAGCAGGGAGAGAGAGCTTCCGCAGAGACAGACGCGCAGCGCGGGGCCGTCCACTCGGAGGCCGGCGGCCGCCCCGAGCCCCGCAGCGCTTTGCCCCCGGAGCCGCTGCCTCTGGCGGTGCCGTCGGGGCGCGGCGCTAGGTGCCGTGGGCGCAGCGCTCCCCGGGGTAGATCTCCTCGTAGGCGGGGGGCTGCTCGCTGGGCAGCGGGTAGCAGTACGGGTAGGAGGCGTTGAGCTCGGGATCCATGGGCGAGTAGCCCGGCAGCTCGACGGACGGGTGCCCGCCGCAGTGCACCTCCACGCCGGCCTCGTCGAAGACGTGGAAGACGCCCACGTTGATGTAGGAGACGGCCTGGAAGGGGCAGTCACCGGGGCTGAGCTCGGACTCGCCGCCCGAGAAGAGCGAGCCCTGGCTGTGGCGAGGCACCCGCCGCCCGCCGCCGCCCCTCCGCCGCCGCCGCCGCCCGCCCGCCGGGGCAGCCGCCGCCGGAGCCGCTCTCCGCCGCCGCCGCCGGCGCCCGCGCTGCTGCGAGGCCTTGTAGTTCTTGACGAGGAGCAGGTTGAGCAGGCCCAGCAGGCACTCCAGCGCGTTGAAGACGGTGGAGAGCACCAACCCGCGCTGGTAGTCCCGCAGCTTCTGGCAGCGGAGCGCCGCCGCCGAGCCGTCGGGGACCGCGGGACCGCTCCGCGGGCGGGCCGCGCCGCCGGGCTGCAGCAGGCAGTAGTGCGAGTACTTCCTCTCCACCAGCGACACGGTGTCGCCGTCGATGACGGCGCCGGCGAAAGCACTCAGCACGCCCAGCATGAACACCAGCACCCCCAGCAGCAGGAAGTTCTGCCGCCCCCCGGGCGACGCCTTCTCCCCCGGCCCCGACGGCGCGGCTGCCGCAGCTTCGCTCCCTCCGGGACAGGGGCCGGGGCCGGCGCCAGAGCCGGGGCAGGAGCCGGAGCCGGAGCCGGAGCCGGGGCCGGAGCCGGGGCCGGCGCCGCCGCCGGGGTCGGGGGCTGGAGCCGGGGCCGGGGCCGGGGCCGGGGCCGCGGGCGCCTCGTCGGGCGGGCGGCAGCAGAGTAGCGCGGCGGCGAGCAGCGAGAGGCCGGCGGCCAGCAGCAGCCCCGAGTAGAAGGCGCCGGCGGCGGTGCCCAGGCGGAAGGGCTCTCCCTTCAGCTCGGAGCCCAGCGAGAAGCACTTCAGGCCCACGGCGGCGGCGCTGAGGGCGCAGGCGAGCAGGAGGCAGCTGGAGAGCGCGGCGCAGGCTCCCCGCACGCTCCACTTCATCCTCCGCGCCGCCGCCGCCGCCGCCGCCCCGCCGCCCGCCTCATCCTCCTCCCGCGGCCCCCCCCGGCCCCGCGGCGGCGGCGGCGGCGCGGCGCGGCGCGGCCATGCAGGCGCGGCGCTCCCCGACGGGGCGGTTCGGCTCCGCTCGGCTCCGCACGGCAGGCAGCCGCCGGCCGCAGTGAGCCAGGCGCGGCGATCGCACACGCTCCCCCCCCCGCCTCCCGGCCGCCGCCGCCTCCTCGTCCCCGCCCGCCCTCTCTTATCGCGGCGGCTGCGGGGAGGCGATTAATTATGGATGGGAGCCGCGGCTGCCGGAGGGGGGCGGCCCGACGGCCCGGCGGGGGGGCGGTGGGGTGGGCGACCCTCGGCCGGACTGGCTGTGCACTTCTCGAATCGGGGCGCACGATGAGGGGTACTCGGGCGGCGGGGGCTCAGCCCTGCGCGGAGGACTCATGCTCCTGCTATCTATCTCCAGTAAAAATGTTTTAATTTGAATTAATATATTTTTATTTACTTATCCATGCATTTAGCTATGTATTTATTTTTCTCGCTTGCTCCTGCAGTAGACCCACGGCCGGCGATGCCCCCCTGTGACCGCGCTGCAGTGTGGCGGCGGCGGACCGAATACCCCGCAGCGCGCTGCCCGCCGCAGCCTCCCCCCCCACCCCCTCCCGCTTGCCTCCCTTTATTTGCGCTCGGCCGACCGGCCCGGGCGGGACCGCTGCTGCTGGGGGCGGCAGCAGGGACGGCACCCTCCAGGCGCCTCGTCCGGGCAGGTGGAAAGCGCTGTATGTGCGGAGAGGAGAGAGCATCGCTCCCTATCCGGCCGCGGCATTTGGGCATCGCCTCCCGCTGGGACTTTAGCCGGCAGAGAAGGGACCGAGACAAGGGCTGCGGAGGGGGTTACGGAGGACTCTTCCTCACCCATTCGTTCTCCTTCCGGGAAGCCGCAGCTTCCCGCTCCCCCATTTTCCCCCTCTGCCACACTCCAGCTCCTTGCTGGGTATTTTTAGCCGGCGCCGCTGATTAGCATTCAGGGGAGCAAGCGAGGGAGAGCAAACGATTTCTAAGCCGCTCTCTCTTCGCTTTCCAACAGGGGCAGTGCACCTGTTTGCGAGGGGAGCTACTGGCCGTGATCCGACATTCTGGGACCCCCAGGGCCCCACACCTGCTCGCCTAGCGTGGAGACCTCCTGCGCCCCATCGAGGCAGCCGTGAACGTGGGGCTTTGCTCCCGGAGCCACTCTTCCCCGTGGGCTTCTCTGGGCCCTTCTCTCGGTGGCCCTGCCGTCTCCAGTGGCACTGTCTCGAGGTATCCAGTGTCCCAAAGGGATGTGATGTCCCTTGGGGCCGAGAGGAGGAGATAATGCTGCCTCCTGAGATCTTTGTTACACTCTAAACGTTGCCTTGAGAAGCACACACACGGAGACTGAGTCCAGCTGCCAGTTCTGAGGGATCCAGGGACGCAGTGCCTGTGTGGGTGTGCAGGAAAAGGAGCTGTAGCTCCTGGGAAGGAAGTACATAACGACCTTGTGCATGGAGTGGGTAGAGTACCTTGCTTCCTGACACACAGCATAAGGATGCTTATCTGTGAAGGAAATAGGTTGTGATTTGTATAATTTCATTGTTACTGTCAGGAGTTTAGAGGGCTTCAAAAAAGGATTAGCTGTTATAAATAGAAGGAACATTCACTTAACATGAATGGGACAAAATTTAAGAAGGGATCTCAACCTCATGTATCACCGTATTACTCAGCCCTCCATGGGCAATAGCTAGGGAAGGAAAAGCAAGCCTTTGACAAGGTTCAGCTCATTTCCTTCTTATGCATAGCTGCCTGCCCGGCACTTTGGTAGCTGTCAGTGCCAGGAGGGCTTCTCCAGTGCAGTCCTTCACTAGTTCCTACGCTTTCAGCTTTTTGGTCTTCGTTATCTTGAATGTCATCCTGGGGGTGAACTATCCCTGAAGGGACTCAAGACCAGGTTAGCTGGGGCCCTGGGCCCTGGGCAGCCTGGTCTGGTGGATGGTAATCCTGCTCATGGCAGTGGGATGGAGCTGGATGGGCTTTTAGATCCTTTCCAACGCGGGCCATTCTGTGATTCCACGATTCTATGATCTACGGAAGAGACATTTCTTTGCCTTGTATTTGCAGCAGGAGGCTGATCTTGGTTAGCGTTCCTGACAGCTGCGCGTGGTGAGAGACTGCTAGTGGGCAAGTTTAATAAGGTAATTAATAATTCTGCTGCATATTTTTGTTTCTCCTCTGGGGCAACTTGCTCCTGTTGACCTTTTCCAAATCTTTCCTTGCCTGTTCCTCCCCAGAAGCACTTTCTGGTTTCCAAAACCATGTTCAGTATGCAAGGCTGGAAGTTCCACTACCATCATGCTCCTCCATTTGTTATGTATTATTCATAACCTCCTGGGTTTCAGTGTCACTCCGAGATAGCACAGTTTGTCGTAGGGATGTTTAGCACTTTGCACTGTGGCACGTGCTCAGTAAGAGGAGAGCACACACACACACACAGAATAAGGTTATTGGCATATCCTGCACATTCAAATTCAACTCTCTTCGGAAAAACTGTCAGAAAACACATAACAAAGTTGTTACGTCTGTAATAACACATAAGACTCCATAAATACTCCAGCATATCTTATATGTCTTGCATTAAATAATTTGTTGGAATGGCTAAGAAGTGGCTGGCCTACCAGCAGCCTTCATAAAGGTTCCGAATCCCAAAGCATACAACTGATCACAGCTAATAGTCCATTTGAGTTGAGGTTAGGATGTCTGCCTGTGAGTTCATTGCTGATCAGTGTAGGACTCTTTGGCCACATCTGACTGCTGGGCTGCATGTGGATTTCTGCAACACCAGGAGAGAGATTTTTGAGTCACTTGGCGACGTTTGACACCTAAATCAGTAACTGCTGGCGAGTCGGTCTGACAGCCACAGTTAATAGCACAGCCAGGATCTGATGGGACTGTGCTACAGTTGCTAAGCATGAAGCATTGTCAGTGAGACATGTTTTGAGACTCTGGGTATCAGTTTTGTCCTCAGGCTTTGTTAGACACTTTCTTCTTAATTGTCCAAATCAAAATGTATCACAGTTTCCATGAGTACTTCTTTCGGGCTTTGGAACATGCATGTCAAGTTTGGTGGGACCCAGCCTGGGCCACATGTGCCAGAGATACAGGCACAGGTACAGGATAGGTCACTTATGGCCAGGTCCTGCCCCCAGGGAGGAGCAGTGAGGTTTAGGCATAGATTTTGTTTAGCTCAGGGGGGGAGGCGAAGTGCTGAGCTGGGTGCCAGGTTGGCACTACCATGACAGCAAAGCAGGCTTGCTTCACTCTGTGTGAGCAGAGCTTGGTGTTTGCACTGGGGTGCAGTTCAGCCTCTCAGCTTTTTGCGGTGACTCAGTGGCATGAAGGACGACAGAGCTATTAATTATTTGCTCTCCAGGCTGGGAAGCTAAACTGTGTGTTTGTAAAATGGATGGAGATCTTCAGCTTACACCACCAAAGTGCAAAGCATTGCATTATTTTATTGTCTACTTCTCCTCCTACACTGCATTTATGGTAAGATGTATGTGTTGTTATTTCAGTGCCAGTTTGATAAATTGGTGTCGTAGCTTTGACTATTCATTCATGATGGCTGTGTAACCTCCTGTAACTTATTCTGTTGCTTACTCCTGCTTGTTTTTTCTTTCTTTTTTTTTTTTTTTTTTTTTTTCTCCTGGTTCTGTAGAAGATATTGTGGACTGTAAAATGTTTTTACAAAAATCTCTTTGTGCACTATTATTAGGAGTATGTTAGAAATTAGATATTTGAAACTCTGAACAGCAAATACCACATTTTGTTCTGGTCCTTGCTCTTTTCCATTTGCAAGATCTGCCAGCATGTTTCCAAGTACTTGAGGCCTGCTCTTCCACTTTCTCAGCACTTCTATGTGAAAGACTCATCGCTTTATGGAAAATAAAGAACACACCTTGGGAAAGACTGTAAATCACTCTAAATCAGTCTTGGAGCTGGCTGCTGGCTGCTGGCTGGACACTGATGAAAAACAGAGATACAGAGATTATTATCAGAAACATTTATAATAAGGAGCAGAGAGATTTGGGAAGAAAATAAAAGGAGTTAAGACCTAAGGAAGTGGTGGATGTGCCACCATGGGTCATCAAGGTCAGTCTGGATGGGGCTCTAAGCACCCGATCTAGTATAAGTGTCCCTGTTCACTGCAGAGGAGTTGGACTAGATGATCTGTAAGGGTTCCTTTCAATTCAAACAATTCTATGATGTTGTTATTGTAAGACAGAGAAAGCAGATAATATGCTTGAGGCTGGAGTTGTGTTCTTGCTCGGGCAGCAGCTAGTCACAGGAATTTGGGATCAAGGGAAGCAGAGTTTGAGAATTCAAGAATATTGACTCAAGGTCATTCACATAACATGACCAGGGGATAATTCAGGTTGGAAGGGACCTTGAGAGGTGCCTAGTCTGACCTGCTAAAACCATGGCCCTCTCTGAGGTCTTGTTAGGTTGCTGAGATCTCTCTTTGGTCAGGTCTTGAAGACCTCTGAGGGCAGAGATGGCACAGCCTCTCTGGCCAACAAGCCTCACTCCTGACTGCCCTCATGTGGAAAAAGCCTTTCCTTTTATTCTGTCTGACCCTCTCACTGCACATGATGTCCGTTAACTCCCGACATACACTGCTATAAACACCTTCCTCCCCTCCTTGAAGCCCTCCCATAAGCCATGGGTTAGGAACCCAAAGCTATGTCAGCTCCATGCTGAACCAGCTGTAGCCCCACTGCCCTTCTTAGTGGGGCAGTGTTCCCAGTCCTGCCCCACCACTACAGGAACCTCCCATGGCCCTGCCTGGTTTGTCAACATTTCCCCCATGCATGACCCCAGGTGGGACACAGATGAGGCATGATATTGTGATGCTGTGATCATGATAGTGTGGTTCTGCGATCACCACATTCACAAGTGAGGATGGTATCTACCCCGTGTCTGCCATCCCACTGTTTCTATCCAGCCTTCCCCAGAAGGTGAGGACAAAGCATA